TGAACTGAACATTTAAAAATGTATCACAAATAATCATTTATCTAATTAAACATGAAACTATTATTAATTTCATTAAACATGAAACTTATTAATTTCATTAAACATGAAACTCTATTATTAACTTCATTAAACATGAAACTATTATTATTATTATTATTCTACTACTACTACTACTATTATTATTGTTATTATTGTTATTATTATTGTTATTGTTGTTGTTGTTATTATTATTATTATTATTATTATTATTATTGTTGTTGTTGTTATTGTTATTGTTGTTATTATTATTATTACTATTATTATTATTATTATTATTTGACTTACAACCATTTTTAGTAGCCATTCCAACCTACAACAGCCCTGAAAAAAGTGACTTATGACACTTATGACGGTTGGCAAGAAACGGTGGCAAGAAAGGTGTGACAAAATTCACTTAGCAGCTGTCTCGCTTAGCAACATAAATTTGCTGTTCAATCATGGTCATAAGTTGAGAATTCCCTGTACATATTTTTATTAATGTTCTTTGTCAAACTTTTTAATACAACCGCCCAAGTCACACCTGGGCCAGTGCCCAGAATAAAATATATTTAAAGGCCCTTTATTTACTGGAAACTGCAACGGTCAGAGGTCAGATGCCTCTGAGCTTCAGGACCTGGGTTCAAGAGTTTCCACGTCCAGCCAAAGACCTGGCTGACACATTCCCACCGCTTTTGCAGCCTGGCGTAGATTTAGAAGGCTTCAATCCGGAGAAAGAATTTGGAGGAAAAGTATGCAGCCCCCGTTTTCCTCCTGCGGGTGGGCTGCTGCGTGGCTAGGGCTGATGGGCTTTGTAGTGAAAGCTCTCCGCAAGGATGCTCGGGAAAGAGGCACAATGGGCAGGTGAAGTGGACAGACTGGTGTGTGTATGTATGTGTGTGTGTGTGTGTGAAACCTGCTGGGGGGGTTGGACTAGATGACTTCCAAGGTCCCTTCCAACCCTTGTTAATCTGAAACAGGAAGCCCACTCAATGGTACAGCAGGGATGGCATGGGGTTTCGACTAGATGACCTCCAAGGTCCCTTCAAACTCTTTTTAATCTGAAACAGGAAGCCCTGTTCCGACGTGCAGCGGGGGGGGGGGTTGGACTAGATGACCTCCAAGGTTCCTTCCAACCCTTGTTAATCTGAAACAGGAAGCCCATCCAATGTACAGCAGGGGTGGCATGGGGTTTCGACTAGATGACCTCCCCTTCAAACTCTTTTTAATCTGAAACAGGAAGCCCTGTTCTGACGTGCAGCGTCGGGGTTGGACTAAACGACCTCCAAGGTCCCTTCAAACTCTTATTAATCTGAAACAGGAAGCCCTGTTCCAACGTGCAGCGTCGGGGTTGGACTGGATGACCTCTAAGGTCCCTTCCAACTCTTTGTTCACCCGAAACAGAAACCCCGTGCAGAAGAGGGCGGGCTTCCCAAGAAGAGGGCGGAGCCCCCCCAGCAAGGGGTTCACCCTCCCTCCAGCTCCTCCCCCTCTCCCTCCTCAAAGCAGAAAACCGGCGGGGCAGCGCGACGAGCGTGGCTTCCTGGCACCGTCCGGGGACCGCTCGCCTCCCTCCGGGCCTGCAGGTAACGGTGGGGGAAGCGGGGAACGGAGCGCGGTCAAAGGAGGGCGGGATCCAACGCTTGCTTTCTTCTCCCAGGCTGCGCAATTCGGACTGACCACCACCACCCCACCCATCATCCCCGGCCACGAAGGGCGTGGGAAGCCGTTTGTCTCCCGTTTTCACTTCTTTTTTTTGGCCGCCGCTCTCGGAGACGGGCGGCTCCCCTGGAGTTGGCCTACCCTGCCGGGGTGTAGTAGAGCAGGGATCGCCGGACCCATAAGGCTGAACCCCCTCCCCCCCCCAATATTTAACGCTTCAGAAACGGGGTGGTCGGGTTTTTACGTAGTCCCCGTTACCTCTCCCTCCTTCCTTCCCTCTCTTTTCTCCTTCCTTCTATTCCTTTCTTACCAAGTGGGCTGCCTCCCTCCTCTCCTTCTTTCCTTCTGTATCCATCCCTCCTTTTCCCCTCCCCTTCCTCTTTTCTTTCTCTCCTTCCCTCTATTCCTTCCTTACCTTGGGAAAAGTGGGCTGCCTCTCTCCCCTCCTTCCTTCTGTCTTCCCTCTTTTTTCTTCCCTTCCCTCTTTCCCCCCTTTCTCTCCCTTTTTATTTTTCTTTCCCTCCTTTTCTATTTTCCTTCCTTATCTTTTCCTCCTGTTCTTTCTACCCTCGCCCTCCTTTCCTTCCTCTTTCCCTTTCCTTCCATTCCTTTCCCTTTCCTCTTATTCCTCACTCCCTTTTTTCCTCCCTGCTCTCTTCCTTTCCCTCCTTCCTGTTGTCTCCTTTCTCTTTCCTTCCTTTTTCTACTTTCCCTCCCTCCCTCCTGCCTCTTTCCTGTCTTTTTCCTCCCCTCTTTTTCCTCTCCTTCCTGTTGTTTTCTCTTTCTTTCCTTCCCTTTTCCTTCCTCCCTTTTTTCTCTTCCCACCCCCCCTCTCCCTCCTGCCTCTTTCCTGCCTTTCTTTTCTTCCTGCTACCATCCTCCCTTCCCTCCCTCCTCGGGGGGGTGGGGGTGGGTAGGTGGGGGAGACCTGCTGGACGGGGAAGAGGCGAGATCCAAGGACGTCGCAGCCTCCAGAGTCAACACACACACACAACACGCAACCACGAACGCGAGTCGAGGCGGCAACGTCGGGATGCCGACTTTCCAAGCTTTCAGCCGACCCAAACAAAACCTCCGCAAGTCTTGCTGTCCATCCAAGGAGGCTGGAAAAGAAACCAAACCCCTTCCCTTCCTGGACACACACACACACACACACACAAGCTATTTTTTCCCGGGAGGGGAGGGGCTGCTGGCATTTTGGGGTGGGTGAGCAACCATGCCGCCCCAGCCCCTTTTCTTGCTTCCGATCCCGCCCCCGGTTGGCCATCCTTTGTGTCTGTTTTGTGTTTTGAAGCCAAAGCAACACTTGTGTGTGTGTGTGTGTTTCTTTTTCCGAAGCCCCGAGGGCGGCAAGGGCGAGGCTGGGAAGGAGGAGAAAAAAAAGGGGGGTGCTCAGCGGTTGGATCACCGGGATCCACCCATCCTTTCTCTCTCCCAGGCGGCGTTGCTTTGGCCGGCGTTCTTGCGGCGGGCGCCCGGTTGGGGAAGAAAGCGGCTTGGAGAAAGGCTGCTCTCCCCCTCCCGCCCCTTCCTCTCTCTCTCTCCCCTCTCTCTCCGCCACCACCACCACCCGGCAGCCACTGGGAAAGGGGGAGATCCAGTTTCTCGGCAGTCACGTGCGAATCGTCCTGGGTTTTCTTTTTTTACCAGGGTTGCCCCGGACTGACGCCTTCGCTGCCTGCGGGCTGAGTTGGAGCGAAAGGGACGGTACGGGCGCGGTGCTTTTCGTGGGGAAGGGAGGGGGGAGCTATTATTCCCCCTTTGCTTTTTGGGTTTCCCCCCCCCCCCCCGGCGGGTTAAAGGGTTTGGGTTAGGATTCCGATGGCTTCCCCCCCTCCTTTCCCTAAAAGGGTGCAAGGACTTTTGGCCCTTGTTCATTTTTGGGGGGGGGGGGGGGGGGGGGGGCCCCCCGTTTCCCCGGGCAGCCCCCCCGGTTGGGTATCTGGCTTTGGGGGGGGGGGGGGGGGGGGAGAGCTTTACCGCCCCTCCCTTGGCTGTGCTGCAGAGTAGTGGAAGTTCAGAGCAGGGCCAGCTTGGAGGGGGGTAGATTTTGGCGTGGAGGAGAGGCCCAGGAGCTGACTTGGCCCCAGGGAAAGGGTGTGTGTGTGTGTGTGTGTGCTTGGTGTGTGTGTGTGTGTGTGCTTTTTTTTTGCATCCAGCGCAAGTTTGGTGCAATGCCTGGCAATTGCCTGCAAACCCAGCACTTCCCAAGGTGTTGGGATTCCGACTCCCAGGTTGCTCAGCCGGGGTGGTGGCTACAGCCTCATGGAGGCTGTAGTTCCATGCCTTCTTCAGGACTCCCAAGTAGTGGTAGTAATAATAGTAGTAGTAGTAGGAGGAGGAATCCATACAGCTAGTCCATCTACTATTATTATTTATTTATCTACTACTACTATTTATGTTGCTAAAAAAGACAGTTAAGTGAGATTTATGTTTATCTCCAGACCCCTCGCATCCCGGACATAAATTGTTTCAACTCCTACCCTCAAAACGCTACATAGAGCACTGCACCCCAGAACAACTAGACACAAGGACACCCCTCTGCTAAAACAATTCCCTCAACACTGTCAAACTACTTAGTAAGGCTGTATTACTATTCTTCTTCTCATCCTTCCTATTGCCTACCTTTTCCCACTTAATGACTGTAACAGTGTTGCTTGTGTCTTCACAATTCATATAATTTTGTTGTCCTAGTATCTTTTGATTGTGTTATTAGTAACCTATGTATGATTTGATAGCTTATTAGTAACAATTAATGTATTTTATCTTCTCTGATACACAGTGAGAGTATATGCACCAAAGACAAATTCCTTGTGTGTCTAATCACTCTTGGCCAATAAAGAATTATATTCGATTCCTATTCTTTCTGTTCTATTCTATTCCTATTCTTTCTATTCTATTCCTATTCTATTGTATTCTGTATGGGGTTGGACTTGATGACCTACAAGGTGCCTTCCAACTCTGATTATCTGTTATCTATTCTATTCTTATTTCTATTCTATTATTTCTATTCTGTTCTATTCTACATTCTATTCTATATTCTGTTCTGTTCTATTCATAACCTGTGGCTATCACTCAGTGTTGCGTCTTATGATTCTTGATGAATGCATTTTATTTTTTCTGATGCATACAGAGAGCATTTGCACCAAGACCAATTCTTTGTGTGTCCAATCACACTTGGCCAATAAAGGATTATTTCCTATTCTATTTTATTGTATTCTAATTTCTATTCTGTTCTATTCTAATTTCTATTTTAATCGTTTCATTCCTTTTCTATTCTATTCACTGTTTTATTTCTATTCTATTTTCTATATTATATTATATTCTTCTATAGTATTCTTATTCCCATTCCTATTTCTATTGCATCTGGCAAAAATTTCTGGGAAACGTGGTTCTCCTCCAGTGGGCTGAGCAGAGACTCCAAGGAAAGGAAGGGGTTAACTCTGCTTCTTCTGAGGGGGAGTCAATCAACCTTTAGGCCACGCCTCCCTGGCCTGCGCATGCCCAGTTTCGGACTCGGCCTTTTCCCTCAGCCGAGAGACCCGTGGAAGACGGAGCTCTTCGAGGAGAGGACGCACTTATTGTTCCCCGGGTTCTGACGGCCCCGCGTAACAAGGCTCCGAAGCCTTCTCAAGACGGCTAAAGGGCGAGGCTGGCTCCCCCGGCCCGCTTGGCGTAGCCCGCCTTTTGTCCCGATCCCGTCAAGGTCACTCACCGAGCCCCGCAGGCAACGAACGAGTGCCCGGGGGAAGCCTAGAGCGGCTGAGAGAGAAATAAAGCCGCGGCGGCAGCAAAAGGTTCCTCACAGGAACGAGCCTGCCTGGTCCGGAGGCCCCGGATACTAAAATGGCGGAGCCGGGAACGGCAGGGCCGAGCGGGGAGGAGGACCAGAGTCCCCCGAAAGGCTCCGCGGGGCCCAAGTCGGCCGCCAGAAGAGCCGCCGCCAGGCTGAAGGCGAGAGCCCTCTCCTCCCAGAGAGCCCCGAAGGCCGAGGAGAAGGATGCCCTGAGGGGCCGCCTGGAGGCCGCTGACAAAAGGGCCGCTGAGGCGGAAACAGCGCTAAAGGGAGGGGCGGAGACCCCCGCGGAGGAAACCGTTGGGGTTTCCCGCGCTTTTCCAGCCCAGCAACTCAGCCAGCCAATCGGCGCGAAGCACCAGAGCCCGCTGGGCTCTCAGGCCGGGTCGCCAGGTGGCGCCAGAGAGCAGCTGTCTCTGCCCTCCGACGAGGCTTTTATGGCTCCTGATTCGAAGCCGCCGCCAGGAGAAGGGCAGCCACCGCCTAAGCGGAGGAAGGGGGCGCCAGAGGCCAGCTTTACTCCCACGGCGGTGGCGGGACTTGGCCCACAGGAGAGTCAGGGCCCTGAAATCTCTGACCAGATGAAAATCCTGATATCGGAGGCCATAGCGCAGGGCATTGCGGCAGGCCTGCAACAAAGACCTAAGGCTGCTCCGAAGCCCCTGGAAAATCCCAAACATGAAGAGCAACACAAGGGATCCCCCACAGGGCTCTTTTCCCCATCCCTCTTTAAATCCTTGTTGTTCAAGGCCAAAGCCACAACAGGTATGGGAGCGGAGCCAGCGTTGGACCCGAATGAGTTGCTCTTTTCACAGCCAACCATAGAGAGCGAGGAAATCCCCTCCCCTGACCTATTCCGGGACCTGGTCCAACAGCAATGGGCCCAACCAGCAGTGTCCACTTCCCTAAATGACAGTGAAAGAAGATTTTATAATGTGGCCCCGGATTTCTCCAAGGCACTGGAAACACCAACTGTAGATGGCCCGGTGGCGGCCTTAGTAACCTCCCCCATCCTGCCTACCCATGTAGAGCAGGGTCTGAACCCAGGGGATAAATTGGAGGAGCAGACCCTCCGCAAGGTGCACAAGAACGCTGCCATGGCAATCAAAACATCGACAACCGCCTCATTCTTCAACAGGGCCACGTTGATGTGGCTCCGCCAGATACAAGCGAGAGTTCCCCCTGGTGACCTCCGCTTCCACCAAGATATGAACAAAGTGATAGCAGCTACGGAATTCTCGGCAGATGCCACCTTAACTGCCGCCAAGTTTGCTTCCAGGGCCCTTTCCTCTTCGGTGGTGGCCCGCCGACTACTGTGGCTTCGCTATTGGAAGGCAGACACGAAAAATATGTGGAACCTAGCCTCTGCTCCCTACAAGGGGGGCAATCTGTTTGGAGAGGCCCTAGAGTGCCTTCTGGTGGAGACTAAGGATGGGAGAAAGATCCTGCCTTCTCTTCATAGACCAGCTGATCGCCGTGGAAAAAATTTCCGTGGGGCTTCCTTTCGGCCCACCGGCACGGGGTTTGATGCCCCTCAAGCCCAGAGGGCATATACCCACAGACCAGGTTGGGAGCCGGACGGATCAGAGTTCAAGTACAGAAACAGAGGACACTTCCAAGGCAAGCGGCCATTTCAAGGCAGAGGCCGTCGCCCCTTTCACCGCTCCAAGTGATGACAGATCCAGCCCCCCCATTGGCGGGTGCTTAAGCCTATTCACCAATCAATAGGAAGCAACCCCAGAGGGCATGACCTGAGACTAGGTCTCCCCTTGGATTCCTCTCCCCCACCCCCCAAGTTTCTTCATACGTTGCCCCATCTCTTTTTTAAAAAAGTTTTTTTTATATTTACAATAATTCCAAAGTAAAACAAATTAAAATGGAGTAGGTGAAAATATAGAGAAATTTTAAGTTTGTTAAAAATGATAAGACATATGCAATAGTAGCTAAAAGAAAATGGGATTATTGTTATATTGGTTGAAAAAATATTAATTGTAATTTCTTTTACTTTCCAACCATTGATCAAATAAACCCCATACCATATAATATACCATTTCTTCTTTTTCTTTAGTTACCAATGTTAACCTATTCATCTCTGCACGTTCAAATATTTTCTCGATTACTTTTCCCTCTGCCGGTATCTTACCACTTTTCCAATTCTGAGCAGATACAATTTTAGTGTCTGTTAATACGTGTATGATTAAATATGCTTTTTTTTTTTTTACTGTAGCCTTCAGGTACAATCCCTAATAAAAATATTTCAGGTTTCAAATCTATATGTTGTTCTATCATTTTTTCCAACCATGTGTGTATTTTTATCCAATATTTTTTAGCTTCTTTGCAAGGCCATCATATATAGTATTATGTTCCAGGTGTCTGGTGGCCCTTCCAGCATTTGGCTGATTTATCTTTGAATATCTTAGCAAAGTGCCATCTATAAAACATTCTTGAACAAGTTTTTTTTTTTTTAAACAAGTTTTATTAATTTTCAAAACACACAAGTCATCATTATCCATTACATGTTTAACCTTTTTCCATTATAAATTTAACAAGTCAGATAAACTATAATTCTGTTTTAAACCATTTCCATATAAACATACAAAAACCTCTTATCCAATTTCCCTTTATTTCTCTTTACTCTTATTCAATTTTATTATTATTATTTCATCTATTTTTTTCTGACTTAGTTACCATTATTCTCATTCTATATTTCTACAAGGTTTTATTAATTCTCCCCCCCAAAAAAACAACATATACACACAACACACAAAACATAAAAAGGATCTTTTTGGAAAGTAACTTGGACCCAGGTATCTCTCTTTTCATGGACTTCAATTATATTCATGCTCATCTTACATATCATTACTTATTTTATTTACCATTCTAAGTCTTCTATATTAACTTCTCCACATATCTCACTCTTCTTAATTCTATCTTAATTAATCATCTTAATTTGAGTCATTATATTTATATCTTTTGTCCATTCTCTATTGTACCTTTGTCTCAATCCTTTTAAAAAAAAGAAATTTCTCCTGAAATCACTAATCAGAGTATGATGCCTTTCTATCTCCCCACTAAATTAATCAAATTAATCTTTAAAATATCCAATCCGATTTTGCTTGGTACATTCTAACTGAATAATACATCCAAAACAATTAAATACATAGTTAAACAATAGATCTAAATATTAAAAACAAAATACTATAATGAAAGTTTTATAATAACATTAATACCATAATCTTATTAAACTCTTTAATTAAAGTTTAATATTCTAAATCTCCCCTCATATTATATTTTCAAACCAATCATTATTAACATTTCAACATTTTAATCTCTTATCAACTCTCAAGCCATTTAAATTTTCTATTTCTGATACAATACTACAATATCATCTTATGTACCTTGCAAAATCTCTTTGAAAAAATTATACTTATCCTTTATCCCTAAAAAAAAATTTCTTTTTTTCCATTTAATTTCAAAACTTTGTAACTTTTCTCCACCTTTTCCCTTTCTTTCTTCTCCCAACAAACCTTTCTACCCCCCCTTCTTCTAGCCTCTGCCTTACTGGCTTCCCTTCTCTGTCGTATTCCTCTTCCCTTTTGTTTACCATCCTTATATTGATTTTGCACCTTATTTTTCCCTTTCTTAAATGTTTTTTTAAATCTTAAGTCCTTTATTTCTCTTCTTTTCCCTCTTCCTTCCCTCTTGGTCGAGTTCTGAGATTTATTAAAGATGGCTTCCTCTCTTTGTTCTTCTGCTGTCTTCATCTGTTGCAATGTTTGTTGATAGTTAATAAACGCCATTTCCAAAAAAAGGCAGGCTTCTTTCAAACCAGCTTTACCATTTTGTTTTGCTTGCTCATAATCTTTTCTCAGTTCCTCGATAGAAGAAGCCATTATAAATCTTTTCTTTTCTTTTCTCTTACAACAGTCAGAATATTCCAAAGGAAAAATAAGGCAATCCCAAAGTTATCAGTCAGTCCAAACCAAGACAGAGTTCCCACTCTCTCCTCCTAAGGTAGTATCAATCAGAGAAAAAGAAAGTCCAAATCTGTTTCTTAAAATCTTATTGCAATATATTTTAGTCTTTCAATCCTTAAGGCATCTCCTCCAACAAAGTCTTAGCATACAAATATTTTTTTTTTAGTCCTCTCTTTTCCCACTCATCGCTTAAAGCCAGTTTTCACCTAAAAAAAATAGGTTTCTTAATATTCACTTTTTATTCTGTAAAAAAAGAGGGTAAGCTATCCTTTCAGCACCATTAAACTGCCGCTTTTTTCCTCTTCTCGAAGGTATCATTCAGAAAGTCATACTTTTCAGGAATTTTGTCAAATATATCTTAGAGTCCTAGGAACCAAGAAAAACTCTCCTCTCAAGCACTTTCTCCACTTCCTCCTGCGCATTCTTACCCGGCTGCCAGCTTCTTTGTGGCGGCCATTACGGACCGCCGCTGCACTGTCGTGGGAAAAGGGGGTTCTGCCGGCCGGGGAGGGGGTCTGCAACACCCCCAACCCCCTCTCCGGATCCCCCCTACCTTCAGCTGCCCCTGCAGGGCAGCCTAGCTCCGTACCCGTCTGGGTCGGAGCCCCAAAAACGGCTAGCGCGGCAGGGATCGCGCAGCTTCGCAAATCCCTGCCACTCGCGAAGCCGACAAACCGGAAACTCCTAAACAATTTATTTAGCGACCGTTCCAAGTTACAACCGGAAAAATGAGATCGAGGACCAAGTTTTTTTAATATGCTGTCGATATTGTTAATTTATAATTCCTGTCCCATAGCTTCTGCCATTTTCTGTCCAATTTTTTTTGCCTATGCTATCGTTTCCTTAACTTGCTCTTCTAATTTAACACCTAGTAAATAGCAATACAGTTTTTGATTGGCTTATCTTCCATTCCTGCTAATATTTTATCCAATTCTGTCAACACCTTACGAATCTCTTCAGCTTTAATATCTTTTTCATATCTTGATTGTATTTGCGTATATGAGTACCAATGCATTTCCAACCCTTGTTCATTCAGTTGTTTTTGAGCTCCCCCTTTTCATTTAAGATATCTTTATATCTAGCAATAGTTCCCATTTTACAAACATTTGGGTGTATAAGTGCTTCCATCTTTGATAGCCAGACTGGAATCTTCATGTAATGTCCTCTGGTTTTTCCTCTGGAATGCATTGTTTTTCCCCACGCTAATAACAATGCATTCCTAACCATATGCCTTTGAAAATACCCATGTATTTTACTTCTCCCATACCATAAAAATGCATGCCAGCCCAATTGCAAATCATGTCCCTCTAACATCAACAACCTTCTATTTCTCAGTGTAACCCATTCTTTCATCCAGGTTAATACCGTGGCCTGATAATATACACTGCTCAAAAAAAATAAAGGGAACACAAAAATAAGACATCCTACATCTGAATGAATGAAATATTCTCATTAAATACTTTGTTCATTACATAGTTGAATGTGCTGACAACAAAATCACACAAAAATTATCAACGGAAATCAAATGTAGCAACCCATGGAGGTCTGGATGTGGAGTTACACTCAAAATTAAAGTGGAAAAAAACCCTACAGGCTGATCCAACTTTGATGTAATGTCCTTAAAACAAGTCAAAATGAGGCTCAGTAGTGTGTGTGGCCTCCACGTGCCTATATGACCTCCCTACAACGCCTGGGCATGCTCCTGATGAGTGGCGGATGGTCTGAGGGATCTCCTCCCACACCTGGACTAAAGCATCCCCCAACTCCTAGACAGTCTGTGGTGCAACGTGGCGTTGGTGGATGGAGTGAGACATGATGTCCCAGATGTGCTCAATTGGATTCAGGTCTGGGGAATGGACGGGACAGTCCATAGCATCAATGCCTTCGTCTTGCAGGAACTGCTGACACACTCCAGCCACATGAGGTCTAGCGTTGTCTTGCATTAGGAGGAACCCAGGGCCAAGCGCACCAGCATATGGTCTCACAAGGGGTCTGAGGATCTCATCTCAGTACCTAATGGAAGTCAGGCTACCTCTGGCGAGCACATGGAGGGCTGTGTGGCCCCCTAAAGAAATGCCACCCCACACCATTACTGACCCACTCGGTCATGCTGGAGGATGTTGCAGGCAGCAGAACGTTCTCCACGGCGTCTCCAGACCCTGTCACGTCTGTCACATGTGCTCAGTGGGAACCTGCTTTCATCTGTGAAGAGCACAGGGCGCCAGTGGCGAAGTTGCCAATCTTGCTGTTCTCTGGCAAATGCCAAACGTCCTGCATGGTGTTGGGCTGTAAGTACAACCCCCACCTGTGGACGTCGGGCCCTCATACCATCCTCATGGAGTCTGTTTCTGACCGTTTGAGCAGCTACATGCATATTTGTGGCCCGCTGGAGGTCATTTTGCAGGGCTCTGGCAGTGCTCCTCCTTTCCCTCCTTGCACAAAGGTGGAGGTAGCGGTCCTGATGCTGGGTTGTTGCCCTCCTACGGCCTCCTCCACGTCTCCTGATGTACTGGCCTGTCTCCTGGTAGCGCCTCCATGCTCTGGACACTACGCTGACAGACACAGCAAACCTTCTTGCCACAGCTCGCATTGATGTGCCATCCTGGATGAGCTGCACTACTTGAGCCACTTGTGTGGGTTGTAGACTCCATCTCATGCTACCACTAGAGTGAAAGCACCGCCAGCATTCAAAAGTGACCAAACCATCAGCCAGAAAGCATAGGAACTGAGAAGTGGTCTGTGGTCACCACCTGCAGAACCACTCCTTTATTGGGGATGTCTTGCTAACTGCCTCTGCTTTCCACCTGTTGTCTATTCCATTTGCACAACAGCATGTGAAATTGATTGTCAATCAGTGTTGCTACCTAAGTGGACAGTTTGATTTCACAGAAGTGTGATTGACTTGGAGTTACATTGTGTTGTTTAAGTGTTCCCTTTATGTTTTTGAGCAGCGTATTTCCCAATTAGGTAACCCAAACCCTCCTCTGGTTCTTGCATCCTGCAACGTCTTTACCTTAACTCTTGGTTTCTTTCCTTGCCGTATGTATTTCAGTACTATTTTATTCTTCAAAAAAAAAATTCCCCCAATTTTATCAGAATTGTTTGAAACAAATACAACACTTTTGGTAATATGTTCATCTTAATCGCTGCAATTCTTCCTCTTAGCGATAACTGCATCTTACCCCATTTTTCCAGATCTATCTTGATTTGTTGTTTGAGTTTGTAATAATTGTCATCTTTTATTGTTATGTCTGCTCTCTTCTATTTTTCCTATCAGTTCTAATTTTTTATCATCAGCTGTTGAATGTACTCTACCTTTTCTTCTACATTCCCTATTTTTTCATCCACTCTCCCTTTTGGCTTTTGTAATGTTTGAAGGATCATTTTAATTTCCACCTACATTGTAACCCTCTTTTCTTGCTGTAACACAACTCAATGGATCTCTGTCCTCCGGAGCTGGAAGCCGCCAAGGCTGAAGATGGAGCGGATGTTTGTTGCTTTTTTCATTTTTTGATATTGTATTTGTTGTCTCTTAATAATCACTTTATATTCCATTTTGTATTCAAAATCAATTTATATTCCACAACGGGGTCTTTCTCCAAATTTCTTTCTTCAACCCCTCTATGCCCTAATCCAAAATATTCCACCGGGGATGGGGCACTGCACAAATCCAGAGAGATCACCAAAATCCAAAAGGAAAAAAGAAATTCAGGAAAGAAAGTGATAAAAATAAAAATGAATCAAAAGGGGAAAAAATCCTTGTTATGTTAAATGTAAAAAGGTAAAGGAGATAGGAAAAAGAAAACAAAAATAGAAAAAAAGGTACCAATCTCAGTAAAAGATTGAAAGAAAAAAAATTAAAAATTGAGAAAGAGAAAAAGAAAAGAAAAAATGTATAGTAATATCCACTAGGTTATTCTAGTAGTCCAGTATGTCCCAAAATATAAAGCGGGAAGGATACGATTTAATTATCCAGTTGTAATCCACCTTATCTCAAGGAACAAGGCAAAAAGAGGCCACATGAAGACAGCAGTCCAACACGTGTTGGACATCCAAGCCATTCAACAGGTCCCAAAGGACCAACGGGCAGGGGTTCTACTGCATCCTGTTTGTAGTCCCAAAGACCTGGGGGGTGGAGAGCAATTCTGGACCTGAAAAGATTGAACAAATGTCTAATTTACAGAAAATTCCAGATTTGCAGTCCCTGCAGTCAATACTGGAGAGCATCCAAGAAGGCGACTTCCTAACATCCACAAACCTGACGGAGGCATACCTCCACGTACCCATCTGGCTGTCCCACCGGCAGTTCCACTACATGGGCCGACATTATCGGCACAAGGCCCTTTCGCCTATCCCTAGCGCCCAGGACTTCCAGCAAATTGCTGGCGGCACATCTCTGGGTGATCCCAGTGCCCATCCAATGTTACCTGGACGATACCTTGATACAGTCTTCCTCTCCCCTCTGGGCGACAGGATCTGCAGATCACAATCCGGGCCCTACAAAATCATGGATTTTCCATCAAATTTTGACGAGCCATCTAGCTCCTTCCAACCGACTGCTTACACCTGGATCGCCTATAGTACTACAAGCTCTGATAAGTGCCGTTTGCACCATTACGCTCAGCCAGCCTGCGCTTCCTCACTTTCAAGGTGGCCTGCCTTGTGGCCATCACTTCGGCCAGACGGATATCTGAGCTGGTGGCTCTCTCCATAAGAGAGGATCTTTGCATATTCCACCCAAACAGGGTGGTCCTGCGGTTGGATCCCTCCTTCCTCCCCAAGGTGAACTCATTCCACAGGGTACAGGTCGTAACCTTGCCAGACTTCTCTCCGAGCCCAACCCACGCCCTGGAGAAGAAATCGCACACCTTGGACATCAGGATGGCCCTCCGCGCCTTACTTAAAACGGACAGCCTCCTTTAGAAGGTCAGAATCCGTGTTTATATCCTTCCAGCCCTCCACGCTGGGCAACAAGGTGACACCATCGACCATTGGCCGGTGGATACAGGCATGCATCGCCAAAGCTTACGAGCTCCAAGCTCTCCCATCGCCCAGGCGAGTGACAGCCCATTTGACCAGAAGCGCAGCCACGACGGTGGCATGGGTGACACGGCCTCCATCGAGGAGACCTGTAGGGCAGTAACGTGGTCTTCTGGATCCCCGTTCACAAGGCACTACAAGCTGGACGCCTTTGCTTCGGCTGAAGCGGCCTTTGGCAGGCGGGCGCTACAGAAGGTGCATATAGACTCGGACGCGGGACCAGACTGCTGCCCACCCTTAGGACAGCCGGCTTTGGGATGCCCCATTCCTTGGATTCTCTGCTCGGCACACCGAGAAGCAGCATATCAGGTAAGACCAATGCCCCTTTTACAACCTTTCTTGACGCCGTCGTTAAGTGAACCATCGCAGGGGGGTTAAAGTTAGTCGTACGGGTGGATAAGTGGATCCAGCTTTCCCCCTTGACTCTGCTTGTCAGAAGGATGATCATTGTGTGACTCTGGGAGGATGCCACTGCCGTAAATTTGAGTCTGTTGCCCGGCCCCCTGAAAATTTTTGATCGCGAGGATGCGGCAATGTCATTAAGGGTGAAAAACGGCCCTCCATCTCATTTCTCTGGTTGTAACTTGGAACGGTTGCTAAAGAAATTGTTTTTAGTCGATGATGTCCTGTAGCTGGTTTGTGAGGAGGGAGTTAGAATCGTGTGCATTAGTGTGTGTTTGTGTGTACGCACGCGTGCAAGTTTGGCCGTTTTAAGACTAGTGGACTTCTAACTCCCAGAGTTCCCCAGCCAACTAAGGAATTCTGGGAGTTGAAGTCCACAAGTCTTAAAAGTGGCCCAGCTTGTATACCCTTATGCTAGTTGACGGCAATGAATAAGCTGCCCGTTTAGCGATCGTTCCAAGTTTTAACGGCACTGGAGTTGTAGTCCCATCAACTCAGAAAAATCCCAATGGAGAATGCTGTGGGGCGTATTCCTCTCATCCCTCCTCCCCTTTCTCCCCCCCCCCCCCTCCAGCCCCGAATCCTCCACCTGGCGGGGGCAAAACAAGCGGACTCTCAAAGTCGGCATCTTCCCGTCTTCCATCGCGACAGCAGCCGAGGAAGGAGCGCCCCCTGTTGGAAGTCCGCGGATCAGCCACCCCATCCGAAGCTCCTTCCTCCACCTGAGTCACGGGGATATCGAACCTGAGCGAGGATGGGGGTCTCCGGACCAGAAGGAGGAGTACGTAAGGGGGCAACGCATACCTACACACAGAGATAGACTTAACATGAAGAAAAGTGTGTCTTAGGATCCGTGCAGAACAAATCTCCAGTGTTTGAGTGCATACTGTCCACCAGTGGCCATCAGTGGTACTGCATTTTCTATCCAGGCTGCAGAAAACAGGGCTAAGGCCGTCATCCCAAGCAAGGGGGAGGGGGTGGCTGGACGCCCAACCCCAACTCTCTCACTGACCCCAGGGGAGCCATGTGCGTGGGATCGGGGAACAACTTGGGCCCCGGGTTGAATTTCCACACTTTGAAGGGAATTCTTGGTAGTCCTCGGTTTATCATCAAGATGGGAAGCACAATTTCTGTGGCCAAATGAGACCGTTTAGGGGAGTTTCGCCCCCTTTTACAACCTGCCTTGCCGCAGGTGTGAAGAAAGCCACTGGCGTTAAGTGAGTCATGTGGTCATTCAGTGAACCCAGCTTCCTCCTGCTTGGGGGAAGCCATCCAAGAAGGTCACAAAAAGGGGATTAAGTGATCCCGGGACGATGCAACAGTTGTAAATATATGCCGGTTGCCAGGCGTCCGTATTTGGATCCTGTGAACGCAGGGATGCTGCAGCGGTCATAAGTGCGAGGACCAGTTGTAAGTCACTTTCTCCATGCCGCTCTAACTTCAAACGGTCATAAGTGCGAGGATCAGCTTGTAAGTGACATTCCCCCTGCTCTTCTACCTTCAAACGGTCATAAGTCCGAGAACTGGTTATACGTCCCTTTTTCCATGCCGTTGTTAACTTCCGTGGGTAAACGAATTGGTTGTAAAGAGAGAACTGCCTGCAATCGGCCGTCACTAACCGGAACATTGATGGTTTTTCTCCTTTATCCTAGGAAAAAACCGAAGCCGCGCGGGGGGCACCTCAGCCCCCCGACTCCCAGCAAGAGCAAGCAGCTGCTGCAACTGGCCCGTGAGTCTCCCCCCTCCCCTTAATGGAGAGCCTTAATTGGGCTGGTCTTCTACCCCCCACCCCGTTTTATTAACTCCTCCCCCCCCCACTGCTGCCCCCTACAGGCCTCTCCAAAAGCTTGGAGTCTATTTCCGAGTGGTCCATCCTGCGTCCCAAGGCCAAGTTCCCCCCCTTCCGGGGGGACGGACCCAGCCGGGCTCCCCAGCGGCGTTTCAGCGACCTCCCGGCCCCCATCCCTTCACCCACCAAGCCCGCCACCGCCGCCGCCCGCATCCCCAACCCGGCCCTGCCGTCCTGGGCGCTGCCCAAGGCAGAGCCCGCGGGCCCCAAGGAGAAGGAGCAACGGATGGGCCGGCCGGGTCCCAAAGGCGCCGGGGGGCCAAACCCTCCCGGCGGGCAGCGGCTGACCATGGGGGAGATCGAGAAGAAGATCAAAGAGGTAAGGTTCCCACCTGGTCTTGCTCGGCACGTCTGTGTGGCTTCCCACAGGGGTGCTGTGAGGGCATCCATCTGGGCCTTGATCTCCCCGTCTGGATGTGGGCTGCTGCGGGGGGGGGGTCAGTTTCCCCTGGGGGCGGAAGAGGGATCGGCGGTGGACTGGGCAGCTTGAAAGGATGGGAAAGGAGACCACCCAGAGATGTTTGGCAGAGATGATCTCTAGAACAGGGGGTCCCCAACCATGGCACCTTTAAGACTTGGTGGACTCCAACTCCCAGAATCCTCCATTCAACCATAGCGCATTTTTTCCCTACTTCCTAGAGCGGAGAGATTGCAGAGGAAGGGATGACAAAGAGAGGAAGCAGGCAGAGAGAGTTGAAATCTTAGCGAAGATGGCTGGGGGAATTCTGGGAGTCAAAGTCCGCCAGTCTTAAAAGTTGCCAAGGTTGGGGGACCCTGGCTCTAGAAAGACAATGGGGAAACCCCTTGGACCAATTCTTTAAAGGCTGTCCTTGACTTACAACGCTTTGTTTAGTGACCGAAGTTACAACGGCACTGATTTTTTTTTTTTTAAAGAGACTTGGGATTGTTTTCCCACACTTGCGACCATCGCAGCACTCCCCGTGGTTGGGGGGGGGGGAGGGATCAAAATTCACACGCTCGGCAGCTGGTTTGCCTTTATGACCGTCGCAGCATCCCGGGCGATCCCCCTTGGGGAGGGCAGGGAAGCCTGATTCACTTAACAGCCGTCTTACTGCAGTTCCCTTAACAACCGGCGGCCCCCCAAAGGTGGCAAAAACGGGGCAGTAACTCGGCTTTAGCGACGGGAGTGTTTGGGGAGGGGGAGCTCGATAATGCCGGTCATTAAGTTGAGGACCGCCCGTATCCAGTGGGTGTTTTGATTGAACGGGTTGGCTCTTCAATTTGCCCTCCCCCCCCCCCAAATCGTCCTCCTAGGTTCTGTTTTGTAGTAGGAAGATGGGTTTTGTAGTCCCAAGGAAGTGGGACTACCTTGAAGGTTGGGGGGGGGCGGTGAGGAAAGAGAGGGGTTTTTTTGGGGGGGGGAGAGGGCCTCGGGTGACGCTGCCCCCCTCCCCTCCCTCCCCTCGGCGCAGGTGGAAGACCGGGTGCACGGAGTAACCACTGAGGAGTGCCTGGAGGCCCTGCGGATGAACGGCTGGGAGGTCCCCAAAACCGTCCAGCTGCTGAAGGTGGGTAGCCAGCGTGCCCCCCCCTCAACGACCCCCCCCCCGCAGGGTCCGCCAGCGGGAAGGGAGGGGAAGGGGAGAGCGGGAGGGGAGGGAGGGGCTTCTCTGCCCAGCGGTGGCTTCTGGGAGTCATGAAGGGGGAGGATCGACACCCCTGTCTTGGGCCAGAGGGGATTCTGCGACCCACTTCCTCCTCCCTCTCCCTTTTCCCAACTACTTTCCTTCCTTTTTTCCTCCCTCCCTCCCTCTTCCTTCCCCCTTTCCCTCCCCTCCCCTTTTGTTCCCTTCCTTCCTTCCTTCCCTTATTTATTTCCTTTCCTTCCTTCCCTCCCTCCCCCTTCTTTTCTCCCACCACCCTCCCCTCTTCTCCCTTCCTTCCCACTCCCATGTCCTCCCTCCTTCCCCTTCCTTCCTTCCCTTCCTTCCTCTTTCCTTTCCTTTCCTTTCCTTTCCTTTCCTTTCCTTTCCTCCCTTCTCACTCCCATGTCCTTCCTTTCCCTTTTGTTCCCTTCCTTCCTTCCTTTCCTTCCTTCCTCCCTCCCTCCCTCCCTCCCACAGGTCCACCAGCTCTTCAACCTCAGCTCCCTCTCGTGGGACGAATGCCGTCGCATCCTGGAGAAGCACCGCTGGAACCTGGCCATGGCCTCCCGCTACGTCCTCAGCCGGGGGCTCCGCACCTGAGCAGGGCCAGGGGGGGGGGGGGGGGCAGGGGGGGGGGGGGGGGGCGGGGCCCGGGTAGCCCAGGATCCCGGCTCACCTGTGCTGCTGCCGGTGGGGCAGGAAAGCATCCCTGGCCTGGCCCTCCCCCAGCCAGCCCCCTCCCCCCTTCGGCCCAAGAGACAGTGCTCCGGTTGGGCAGCCTGGGGGTGAAGCCCTCCTCTGGAAGCTCGGGGCACCAAGGGTTGCTAGTCCTCTTGGAGGAGGGACGCCGTTGTTTCTAGAACTCGGCTTCTTCCCAGGAGCTGCAGGTTTCCCTCATTTACGAGCACGGCTAGCTTGGAACTATTTAGGGTCCCTTCCCCCCCTCCCCCCCCAATGGAGACGCTTGCTGTATTTGGGGGGGGGGATGTTCAGAAGGGGGGGAAGGATTGCCCCCCTCACCAAATGCCCATGCGCCTTGGGTGGGGGGGCAGCGGGCCAAAGCGGGGGGGGGGGCTGTTGGAGGGAAGGGGCTTCCTGGCTTTCTCTGGTGTAAATATGGATCAGCACATAATAAAAAGGAACCAGCATCTGTTAAGGCATCTCCTGGGGCGTCTTTGGAAGGAGGAAGAGGAAGGAAGGGAGGAAGAGTGGAAAGAGATTGGGTTGGACTAGATGACCTCCAGGGTCCCTTCCAACTCTGTTATTCTATATTCAATGGGATAGCTTGCCTTCAGAAGTTGTGGGAGCTTCATCCCTGGAGGCTTTCAAGGAGAGATTGGACTCCCATCTGTCAAAAATGGTGTAGGGTCTTCTGCTTGGACTAGATGACCTCCAGGGTCCCTTCTGACCCATGTTAATCTGTTCTATATAATGTAGTCACTCTTGTCCAACAGTTCTGGCTGCCTCAACCCCCTCCCATCACTTGTTTTGCCTTGGTAAGAATTTGGTCCAGCCCATCTTTAAGGGATGACCACAATCAACCACCCCCCCAATTTCTTGTCGCTAAGCGAAACATGTTTCTGCCCCATTTTACAGCCTTCCTTTCCACCATCATTAAGTGAACCACTTGCAGACGTTCAAATTGGGACACAGCTGTTCAGTGAATCTGGCTTGGCCTGCCTGACTGTCGCAAGAGGATCACATGAACACCCCCTCCCCATGCTGCAACTGTCATAAATACAAGTCAGTTCCCAAGCATTTGAATTTTCATGACTTGACCGTGGGGGTGCAGCCAGTCGTTAAGTGTGAAAAACGTTGACCTCTGAATTTTGATGATGTAGCAATGGTCATAAGTGTGAAACGTGATCTTAAAAGTTGTTTTTTTTTCAATGCCCTAAGTTTGGTCGTTAAGCGAACTCTTGCAAGTTGAGGGATTCTTTTTGTGTTTCACGGCTGCTTTTTAAGGTTTGGTGCCCAAACTCTCACCTCTCTCCGCTGTGACAAAGGCAATAAAATAAATTAATCCATCAAAGAGGACGACCAAAAATAGCAAATGTTACATATTTATTTGGTTCAGCTTGGAAACGCAGAAGCTCCGTCGTCCACAAGACCCAAAATTGGGGTGGTTTTTTTTTTTTTGGCAGTCTGCTTCACCTCCCAAACTTTAGATCCAAGCTTTCCTCCCACACGAGGGGCGGGAACTACAAATCCCATCACCCGTGCCACAGATCGGAGAAGACCGGCCCAAATTGGAGGAACCCCAAACTCTGCAATTGTCCCAAACCAGCATCAACTTCCACAGTCCATCTCGGCTTTCTTTGCACCCCAGTTATGGATCCTTCCCCCCCCTCCATGAGTTGTGGGGTACAAAGTCACCCCAAAACATTTGGTATTTAAATACAGGACAGAAAAACAGTATTAATATTATGCAAGACACTGAAATTCAGAGGGGGGGGGAGAAGGAAGAGCAGGAAAGGAGGGGGGTTTGCCCGTCGTGACCCCCCCGTAACCCTGAGCTGATGTCGGGGAGACCCTAACAGCCCTCAAAAGGAGATGGGGGGGGTGTCTTGTTAAGTTTAGTGGTTTAGGCAACGTGGCACCGGCAAACATCCCCCGCCTGGCCAAGATGGGAATTAAAATCCCCCGTTCTGAGCCTCAAAGAAGCCACAAAATTTGCTGCCGGAAAGTGAGGGGGGGGGGGGAAAAAAGGCAAACATTTGGTTCAACGCATCCACTGTGTTACGTCCTCCGTGCCACGCCGACACCCACAAACGCCCACCATACACAGCCCCAGACAGACAAAACACTTCGCACCACCAGTCCAAGTCGCTCCCTTGCTTGCGCGGCTTAAGACGGGTCGGCAACATGCGGCTCCGTTGGCCAACCCCACCCCTGGCTGTCCCCTCCCCTCCCGGCCTCAGAAGGTAAGGGGGAGGGTGATCCCAGAGCAGGTGGTGACTGGGCGGCAGTGAGTAGTTGTCCAGTTGGCGACGCGCCCACCCAGTCACACCGGTCGTTAAAATTATTGGTTTTTTTTTCCCTTCTGTGGGAAACGTGGGTCCAAATGGCTCTTGGGAGTATTTTAAGGTTGCAGAGCCTTAAGACTACAAGGCCCATCCCTCCCAGGGCAGCCCAACCTATCGCCGGAGGGCGCCGTGTCCCATGCCAGCAAAATAAAATGATGAATCAGCCATTGAGACAAGTGCCTCCACATGTGCCAGTTTCCAAGCTGAAAGAGGCGCCCACGCGCTCCGGCTGGTCGTCTCGAGGTCCTCCGGTTTCTGGGGACCCACAATGGGGCCTTTGTTAAACCAAAGATGGCTTGTTTTGTTTTCTTCTTTTAACAAGCAAAGATTCTTCTTTTCTCCTGTCCTAATTTTTCAGGGAATGTGTTTTGTTTTTTTTTGGGTGGGAAGGGCATTGGCCCAGTGGCCAATATAGAACTATATTTATGAGACTTTCAAGGATATTGGACCGCCGTTTGTCAGAAATGGTGGGTCTCCTGCTTGGGTTGGACTGGATGACCTCTAAGGTCCCCCCCCAACACTTGATTATCTGTTTCTATTCCACCAAGTATCCTTTAATGAATTATCCACCTGGCACACAGCTCTCCACTGGGGGTGGGGAGGGTTTCTTCCCAGTTCCCTCCCCACCTCTCGGTGGTCTCTGGAGAATCTGAGGGGTTCAGCCCACCCCACCCCCCACCCCACCCCTGGGAACGACTAAATCCACGTCGAAGGAAGAAAGCAATTTGATTTTCCAAACATGGCACCTTTAAGAAGTTGGGGACTTTGATTCCCAGAATCCCCCAGCCAGCTACGTCCTCATTTCTTAAAGGGGGACAAGCGCCAGAAAACCCAGATTCTGGGGGTTTTAAGGCCACAAAGCCCCCAGAATGGCCACTTTCCCCCACGCTGGCTGAGGAAGGCTGGGAATTGGAGTCCGTACGCCTTAAAAACTCGCTGAAATTGAGAAACAGAAATCTTCAGGATGAGGAGGTTAAAAACTGTCTTGTCGTACGTGCAGAGCTTTGGTTACAACAATAAGCCACCGATCTTTTTTGGACCAGACCTTGGTCCCAGCACCCCAAAAACCCGAGCAGGCACCCCCCAAATCAAGCTGAGCACCCACCCCACCTTCTATGCCAAAAGCTTCCCTGAAAACCACAACTTTAAACTCTTTTTAACAGCAGACCATCTAAAAACCCAACGCCTTCCCCAAACCTCTTCGCTCCTTTCGAGAGCTGGACTTCAAGTCCCATCATCCCCCAGCCCGGAGACGGCAGACAAAGGGGCAGGACAGAGTCGAACGAAGCTTTGCGCCAGAAGTGCCAAAAGCCCACAACGGCTTTTGGGAGCTGAAGGAACTAGGATAAGAGACCCAGGTTTTGGGATACTTGGAAACACTTCCCAGCTGGGCATCCTGTCAAAAAAGGGTATGGGGTTGGACTAGATGACCTCCAGGGTGCCTTCCAGCTCTGGGTTGTCATTCTGTTATTAGAAATTGTGGGAGCTTCATCCGTGGAGGCTTTTCAAGAAGAGACCGGACTGCCCTGTCAGAAATGGTGTAGGGTCTCCTGCTTGGGAAGAGGGGGGGTTGGACTAGATGACCTCAGAGGTACCTTCCGGCTCTGTTATTTTGTTGAAGCACATCTGCACAACCAAGGGAGAAAAGACCAGGAAGAGACCATTTCTGAGAAACCCATTGCTGTCAAGACCCAAACGTACCCAAACACACATACCCCTCTACACAACAACACACAACCACACACTTTCTCTCTCTCTCCTTCTCAGACCAGGAAAACTGTCCCCAGTTTGAGACGGTTTCAGCTGGACATCACCGAGGTCCTCTGTCCAACTTCTCCGGTCTTCTCGAAAAACATAAAATCCTGCAAAAGATTAATAATAGTTTTAAGAAAGGCAGAAGAGAAGTTGCCAGAGTGTGAAGTGCCAGGCGGTCTCGTTTTTTGGGGGGGATCCCCACCACCCCCAGATCTCGTCCCCCTTTCCTCAACTCCGGACTCACAATGAGGAAGCAGGCACCCAGCAGGACGGCTTTCACCTTCACGTCCAGATCGATGGGGAACTGGATCCCAAAGTTGTCCGTGTCCGTGAAGACTTCCTTGAGGAGGCCGCTCCACTGCTTACTGATCCGGCCCACCCCGCGGGATTCGTCCCAGGTCTTCACCTGGTGGGAAGTCCACGTATGAAACTCAAGGAAGAGACAAGGAAAGCCCTACACTTAGGCAAGGAAAACCCAAAGGACCCATATAGACTGGGTGAAACCAGGCTCAATAGCAGGAACTGGGAGAGGGATCTTGGAGTCTTAGTGGACAACCAGCTAAATAGGAGCCAGCCGTGTACAGCAGCAGCCGCCAAAAAAGCCAATGCAATCCTAAGTTGCATTAACAGAGGGATACAGTCAAGATCAAGTACTAATACCATTCTGTAAAGCCTTAGTAAGGCCACCCCTGGAGTCCTGCATCCAGTTTTGATCACCACGCTATAAAAAAGATTGTTGACGCTCTAGAAAAAAGTGCAGAGAAGAGCAACCCGGATGATTAGGGGACTGGAGGCTAAAAGATATGAAGAATGGTTACAGGAACTGGGCATGGCTAGTCTAGGGAAGAGAAGGACCAGGGGAGGCAGGAGAGCAGCCTTCCAATAGTTGAGGGTGGGGGGTTGGACTAGATGACCT